ACAGACAGACAGATAAATAGATAAACAGACAGACAGACAGTCAGACACACAGATAAACAGATAGATAGATAAACAGACAGACTGACAGACAGATAAACAGATAGATAGATAAACAGACAGACAGATAAACAGACAGACAGACAGATAAACAGACAGATAAACAAATAGATAGATAGACAGACAGACAGATAGATAGATAGATAGATAGATAGATAGATAGATAGATAGATAGATAGATAGATAGATAGATAGATAGATAGATAGATAGATAGATAGATAGATAGATAGATAGATAGATAGACAGACAGATAAACAGATAGATAGATAGACAGACAGATAAACAGATAGATAGATAGATAGATAGATAGATAGATAGATAGATAGATAGATAGATAGATAGATAGATAGATAGATAGATAGATAGATAGATAGATAGATAGATAGATAAACAGGCAGATATAGATAGATAGATAGATAGATAGATAGATAGATAGATAGATAGATAGATAGATAGATAGATAGATAGATAAACAGGCAGATAGATAAACATATAGATAAACAGATAGATAGATAGACAGACAGATAAACAGATAGATAGATAGACAGACAGATAAACAGATAGATAGATAGACAGACAGATAAACAGATAGATAGATAGACAGACAGATAAACAGATAGATAGATAGACAGACAGACACAAAGTAAGAAATAATATGATTGTGATAAGAAACAATAAAAAATGGCAAGGATATTGCAAAAAAAAGAAAATAAATTAAACAAAAAAAATTATAAAACAAAATAATAATAAAATAAAATTATTAAAATAAACTGAACATTCATCATTTAGATATTTTGTAATGTTTGGTCAGGCTGACTCTGTTTATGACAGGCTAATGCATATTTCACATATAACACAAATCAGATTGTTCATTCCAAGGATATGCCTTCATTTTTCTGTATTTTCTCTCTCTCTTTCTGTCTGATACTTTACACTGCCTTCAATCTGTCCGCTCCTTCAATCACGTCGCTTTTCACACCTCCGTCTCTTTGTCTCTCCATCCTGCTCTCTTTTCACTGGTTTTCTTGCACCTCCACCTTTATCTCTCTTCTCCACGTCTCTGCCCTATTCACTTTCTCTCAGGTTGTCTCTGTAGTCTCTCTTATCTTGAACCGTTGCGTGGAGATGCTTCGTCCGGAGCGTCCCAAAAGTGTTAGAGCATCCAAACTGACAATACCACAGTCCCATAATCACCTGTCAATTCTGATTTGTGGACTCCGCTTCTCTTTTTTTCACCTCTTTCTCTCTCCCCCTTCCCCATCTCGCGTGCTCTCTGCTGTATATAGTATAGTAGAAGCATAAGTAGTACATTTTCTGTTGATTTTTATTCTTGGTCACGTTAAAATGTCTAGAAAATATATTTTGAAAAATGCATGGTCAACAGATGTGGTGTATATCATAGAATAGTTACTAAAGTCTTAAAATTGTGATCCTGGACTACTGTGTACTGTCTTATAGTACACAGGTACATTTATGAGAATAGCCAAAACATGTTGTAAGTTCTGCATAAGGGTCAAAGGGATTTTGAGCCATATTTTTTGCAGAATATTGGTCACTACATGATGCCGGTAAAGGAAATCCTTTCCTGACTCGCTCCTCCAAAACACCCCAAAGTGGCTCAATAATATTAAGGTCTGGTCACTGTGCAGGCCATGGGAGATGTTCAACCTCATTTTCATGTTCAGCAAACCATTCTGTAATCAGTGACCAGACATTCCCAATACTGTGGGTATTGGTGCATTATCATCCTTGTATGCGGCACTGCATTCAGGATACAATGTTTGACCCATTGGGTCACATAGTCCTCCAGAATGGTAGTTTTTAATATCCACATGGCCATCTAGAACAAGTATTGGGTCTAGGGTGTGCCATGATATTGCAGCCCGAACCATCACTGATCCACCTTCATGCTTTACTTTGGGCATGTGGCAGTCTGGGTGGTAAGCTTCTTTGGGGCTTCTCCACACCAGAACTCTCTCAGATGTATGAACGACAGTAAAGGTGGACTCATCAGAGAACAGTACAAGTTTCACATTGTCCACAGCTCATGATTTTCACAGCTGGCACCATTGAAACCGATGTTTGGCATTGACATGAGTGACCAAAGGTTTGGCTGTAGCAGCCCAGCCATATACACTCATTGGACAATTTAAATGGTACACCACTTAATGCATAGAGGCATGTAGATAAGGTCAAGACAATCTGGTACAGTTCAAACTAAGCATCAGAATGGGGAAGAAAGGTGATTTAGGTGACTTTGAACACGGCATGGTTGTTGGTGCCCGGTGGGCTGTTCTGAGTATTTCAGAAACTGCTGATCTGCTGGGATTTTCACACACAACCATCTCTAGGGTATACAGAGAATGAAAATTCACAAAGGCTCACCAAATTGCACAATAGAAAATTGGAAAAATGTTGCCTGGTCTAATAAGTCTTGATTTTGGCTGCGACATTCGTATGGTAGGGTCAGAATTTGGCATCAACAACATGAAAGCATGGATCCATCCTGACTTAAATCAATGGTTCAGGCTGGTGGTGGTGGTGTAATGGCTCACTTTGGGCCAATTAGTACAAATTTGGCATTGTGTCATCGCCACAGCCTACCTGAGTATTGTTGCTGACCATGTCCATCCCTTTATGACCACAGTGTACCCATCTTCTGATGGCTACTTCCAGCAGGATAACGCACCATGTCATAAAGTGCCAATCATCTCCGACTGGTTTCTTGAACATGACAATGAGTTGACTGTATTCAGATATTTCTAGTACCTTGTTGAATCTCTGCCACGAAGGGTTAAGGCAGTTCTAAAAGCAAAAGGGGGTCCAACCCGATACTAGTAAGGTGTACCTAATAAAGTGGCCGGTGAGTGTGTATTGACTGAAGCTACCTACTGACAGTTTTGGTGGAAACAGAAGAGTTGAGGTGCACATTTGATTCTGCAGTGAGTCACAGGCAGCTGAACGCTATTGGTTTACAGGGAAACGTCACCAGCGCATACACAAGCAGGAGAATGAAAACAAAGAAACTGCCAGTTTTAAATACAAAGCCGAGACATTACGCCGTAATAATATATACATATAATAACAAGCCGTCAACCCGAGCTCAAACAAAACTTGTCATCGACTTGATGAGCAGCCACAAAGCCAAGAAGAGCAGAACTACACTGTGCACCATAGTTGTTTACAAGGCCGTCTAAAGTGCGAGCGGGTTCGCTTTCTCACGCGTCTTGAAATAACAAACTTATGATGATGATGATAGTAAGGTGCACGTGATTATTGAAGTACTTCTGACATCCCTTCCTTTCAGAAACGGACAAAAGCATGCAAGAAGCGTGTAAAAACAAAGGAGAAGCCCAACAAATCAAAGAAGCAAATGATTCAGCAACCTAAACGATGAACAAACTGCCATGTTTAACTCTTATCATCGCCTTTTGGACTATTATGAACTCGGAAGGACAGAATTACTTTCTAACACAAGGTTAGATGTGCTGGTGAACATTAAAGATGCAGATAAGAGGTTTGCACTGACTGTAGGTGATATGCTGCACGTTGTTTTTGAACCAGCTCGCATCTCAGCCTGCCCCAGCTCGCATCTCAGCCTCCCTGTTGGACATTTCACACTGGATGAAAGATCATCATCTTCAGCTGAACCTCGCAAAAACGGAAATGCTTGTAGTTTCTGCCAACCCGACTTTACACCATAACTTTTCAATCCAGATGGATGGGGCAACCATTACTGCATCCAAAATGGTGAAAAGCCTTGGAGTAATGATTGATGACCAATTAAACTTCTCTGACCACATTTCTAGAACTGCTCGATCGTGCAGATTCGCACTCTATAACATCAGAAAGATCCGACCCTTCTTATCTGAACATGCAGCTCAACTCCTTGTCCAAGCTCTTGTTCTCTCCAAACTGGATTACTGCAACTCTCTACTAGCTTCCAGCTAACTCTATCAAGCCTCTTCAGCTGCTCCAGAACGCAGCAGCACGAGTGGTCTTCAATGAACCTAAACGAGCACATGTCACTCCGCTGCTCATCCGTTTGCACTGGCTGCCAGTTGCTGCTCGCATCAAATTCAAAGCTCTGATGTTTGCCTACAAAGCGACTTCTGGCCTTGTTCTCACTTCTGCAGATGTATGTGCCCTCCAGAAACTTGCGTTCTGTGAATGAACGTCGCCTCGTGGTTCCATCCCAAAGAGGGAAGAAATCACTTTCGCTCACGCTCACGCTCACGCTCAATCTGCCCAGTTGGTGAAATGAACTCCCTAACTGCATCAGAACAGCAGAGTCACTCGCTGTTTTTAAAAAACGACTAAAAACTCAACTATTTAGTCTCCACTTCACTTCCTAATCTGCAATTGCCTCTCTGGATATACCACTAACTGTACTAAAAAAAAAAAAAGTCTTCTTAGACTTTACAGACCTGAAACTTGCCTAAAGCACTTATTCATTGTTGCTCTTATAGTTGTGTAAGTTGCTTCCTTGTCCTCATTTGTAAGTCGCTTTTGATAAAAGCGTCTGCTAAATGATTAAATGTAAATGTATACCCAAATAAGGACTAAATGTATGCTGTGTGTAGTTTTTCTGTAATTGCTTACAGACATTGGTACCATCGGTAGCCTTTTGGCAGTGGAAGCGCAAGTCTGATAAAGGTGACCTGTACCATACCAAATGGGCCAGAAGAGGTCATGTTTTGAAACTTGTTGCATGAGAGTGCTTTACCGGTCCGCCGCTTTCAAATGCATATGAATGGAAGTCTATGGGGTGAAAAGGGCAGTGTGACTCTGGCTTAAATTGGCCAGTGTTTCAGTTTCATTGTCAAACCCCTGTAAACATAAGCATCCCTGATGGTCTCATATTTGCTGCACTCTGAGTACACTGCAGCTCTCTCTCTCTCTCTCTCTCTCTCTCTCTCTCTCTCTCTCTCTCTCTCTCTCTCTCTCTCTCTCTCTCTCTCTCTCTCTCTCTTGGCACCGCCTTCTCAGCCGTGGAGGTTGAAACAGCCACAGATGGTGCTGAGACACACAAGCAGACGCTCTACTACAAATGTGTGTGCGCGCATGTGAGTGTGTGTGTGCCAGAGAAAGAGTGTGAACAGCAAAACAGAGGAGACGTCTTTAGAAAGGATCTCTCGGCACCTCTGGGACACAAGAGCGTGTGCTCTGGAGGAAATATTTATGACCCGTCGTCAGTGAGTGACCCTCCTGGAGCAGAGCGGATCTCCATATGAGCTCGCAGACGCACCAGCAGCGCAGCTCCGGGCAGCACTCGGGGACTTTTCAGACCCTGTGAGGATTAAAAAACACACAACCGGGAAAATTGAGAAGAAGAAGAAGAAAAGCCACAGCATGAGCAGCTGCAGGAAGAGATGCAAGCGGGAGATCCTGAAGTTTGCTCAGTATCTCTTCAGAGTTATTACCGGTACTCTCAATCCAGGTAGAGTTTGCTGGAAATTTACTCTTTTTTTTTTTTTTTTTCCACAAAGTTTTTCATCTTTGTGGTTTGGTGGATTTGTTTAATGTATTTATGAATGCTTGGTGGATATATGTGATGCATCTAAGGTTGTGCAATATGAATATATATATATATGTATATATACATTATTATTATTATTATTATTATTATTATTATTATTATTATTATTTTATTATTATTTTGTCCATGTAATATAATAAATATAGAAATAAAAAGTAAATAAAAAATAATAAAATAATTCAAAATAAAAAAATAATATAAAATAATAATAAAATAGAAATAATATAATAATTAAATATTAATAATACATAATTTGTATTATTATTTATGTATTGTATAGACAAAATAAAATAAATAACTACTGTTCCATATACATTTACATTTTTTTTTTACATATTGTATGGAAAACTAAAAGACTATTGTTTCATATTATGTTTATTGTCTATCTTTTGGTGTCACATAAAATATTATTTATTGTTTACATTGTTTATAAGATGATTTTAACTAAATATTTTTCATCATTTATTTGAACGCAATATCAAACAACATTTTAAGCTTACAGATAGAAACATGAAAAACTGCATCATGATAAAGTTCAAAGTACAATGTACAATATTCAAAGTACAATGTTTACATATTGCATTTTATTTACTGACATTATTATTTGTTTCCTTTTTTATTGTTGGACCTGTAATCATTAGTTTTTGATGAGCGTTTTATATTTTATTAATATTTATTTTAAGGTTCTACATTTGTAAGCAAACATTGCCCGATCGATCAAATCTAAATCTACTTTTAAAGGTAAAAATAAAATTAAAATAAGGTTACACTTTAGTTCAGGTCACAATTCATGCGAATAATTGCTGGCTTATCACCTGCGTGTTAAAAAGATATGAACTGTTCAATAATAGTTACGAACATAAACTGTTCATAATAGACCTAAACTAGTGTTACCAAAATTGAAAAAGAAATTGTGAATTTGAATATTTCTATATTCAAATATCTTCAAAAATAAATATTCTTTAATATTTTGTCAATATATTTTTGGAATTTTACAGAAATTGTGAAATTAAACATATTTTATATTCAAATATATTCAAAAATAAATATTCAAAAATCTATTCAAAAATAAACATTTAAAGACTTATTCAAAAATGTATTAAAAAGAAATAATCCTTTAAATGCTGTTAACATATATGAATTTTAAAGAAATTGGGAATTTAAATACTTCTATATTTAAATAATAAAAAAAAAATTCAAAAATAAATATTCCTCTATATCTGGTCAATACTGTATATATGTGAATTTTACTGAAATTGGGAATTTAAATATTTCTATATTCAAATACCTTCAAAAATCAATATTCAATATATTCAATAATGTACTTAAAATTAAATATTCCTCTATATGAGATCAATACTGTGTGTGTGTGTGTGTGTGTGTGTATATATATATATATATATAAATTTTACAAAAATTGTGAATTTAAATATATTTTATATTTAAATATATTCAAAAATAAATATTTATTTATTATTATTGTTGAGCCTTATTCAACAATAAATATTCATTTGTATATGGTCAATATATAATTGAATTTTACAGAAATGCTGCTGCTATATCATGATATATATCACTATCGATATATAACATGCCTTAAAAATCGTGATGAGTGTTTTTGTCATGTCGCCCAGCCCTGGATGCATCTATACGTGATTGCATTTGCAATGTGGTACTGTATCAGATATTTTGCTGCAAGCTGGCATTATGTACAGACAGTACAGTAGAAGTTGAAGCAGTGCAGCTGAAACAACCTGCAGGCATCTCGAAAGCAGATCCTGACCTTTTTTGTCTTGTCTTCTCCTTCCTAATGTCCTTAATCGTATCAATTAATCCCAGTCAGCTGACAATTAGGAAGAGGCAAACAAATTTTCCCCGTCATTTAGCTTATATAAATTGATGTGTCAGCTGTTTTGTGGGGAGATGGGCTTTTTTTTTCCTCTCAGTGGATTGCAGTTGTGTTGTCTCGTCCTTGAGTTTTTCTATTGTGGTTTTCCCAGTGTGCCTACAAATAATGTCAAGATAATGTGAGTGTTAAATGTACAGGCATGTTGCAGAAAATCCGCAAAACAGCAAACATAAATACATGTGCTGACCTTGATATACAGTCAAAGTCAGAATTATTAGCTCTCTTGTTAAATGTTTTCCCCAATTAATGTTTAACAGAGAGAAGATTTTGCTCAACGCATTTCGTCTTAATGATATATTATTATTTTTTGGTCAAATAAGTTTTATTGAAGACACAGATTCAAGAAGAAAAGAATTCTGTTTACATATGTTGTCCACATATAACATAGGCAAAGCAAATAAGAAAAATTAAAAGGAAAAACAACATGAACATTATAATAATAATTAAAGCTGCAAGCAGCAATGAAAGGGACCTCGCACCAGGGCTCACCACCGCCCGGTGGCCTTAGGATGACAGAGAACAGCGAACAATATTAATTTAAGCAGATATATATATAAAACCTGAGAAAGTCACAGATTTATGCCGAACTTCCTCCTGTCAGCAGGTGGCGCTATGACTGTGACTCAATATTGGCATGTAGATGTCTTCAGGAGAAGAATGTTATCCACCATGTGAAGTTTCAAGCAGATCGGACATTGTTTGGCTGAGTTATAAGTAATTTTCTTTTGTCAGCAGGTGGCGCTATGACTGTGACTCAATATTGGCATGTAGATGTCTTCAGGAGAGGAATCTCATTTAACCTGTGAATTTTCAGACAGATCGGACATTGTTTGGCTGAGTTATAAGTAATTTCCTGTTGCCAGCAGGTGGCGCTATAACTGTATCTGGATATTGGCATGTAAACGTGTTCAGGTCAGGACTCTTATCAAACGTGTGAATTTTGAGGCAGATCAGATCATGCATGCCTGAGTTATAACAACTTCCTGTTTCGTAGTGAATCGTCAAAGTTTGCGTGGCCGTGACAAAGTTTGCATGGCACGGACATGTCCTTTAAAGAAAACTCTAACGCTGCGTCCGAAACCGCCTACTACTCAGTAGGTACCGCATTTGAATTCAAACGTAATTCTCGGCCGTTAGAAAAGTACGTTCTATACAGTATGAATGTGAAAAGTATGAATGGAATTCGAACCTGCTATATCCGCCATTTTGACATAGTCATGTGACGTACCTGCGTAATTTGCGTTGCTTTACTCCCATTCATAAGTTCGCTCGCGGGGCATCATGGGATAGCGCAGCATGCATGGAATGCGCACTCTAGAATCTCGCCGGAAGTAGTAATTCATCTGGGTACTTCTCACATACTGTTTTTTTCGAATTCTATGAATTCGGAAATACTACTCGGCTCACATACTGATTTTAGCGCACTATATAGTATGGAAGTATGCGGTTTCGGACGCAGCCTAAATCTTTGCAATACATCATCGCAGAATTTTCACATAACACCACTCAAATTTGGTGCTGATACTGTTTAATTTGTGGGAGGAGTTTGTTACACTGTAAATCATGTTGTTTCCTATTGCCAGCAGGTGGCGCTATAACTCTATCAGGATACTGGCATGTAAACGTGTTCAGGTAAGGACTCTTATCAAACGTGTTAATTTTGAGGCAGATCAGATCATGCATGCCTGAGTTATAACAACTTCCTGTTTTGTGGCGAATTGACAAAGTTTGCAGGGCCACCGCGAACATGCCCTTCGCCCTTTAACTCTTTAACTCTAGATCTTCACAATTTAACATTGCCAAGGCGATTAGATGACAAACGCCAATTTTGGTGTTGATCCGATTAAATCCCTAGGAAGAGTTTGTTAAAATACAAGCCTGGAAATGACCAAAATGCCACTTTTTCGACGCAGAAAGTTAAAAATATCTGACTTCTTGTTGGGTTTGAGATTCTGCTCCAAGAGACGTTTTCATAGGTTTTGGCATGTTTGACGTGTGTGCCAATTTTCGTGCATGTGTGTGATTCGTAGCTTGGGGGCTAGTCCGTATAATGTTTATAGGTGGTGCTGTTGAGTCATTTTGCCACGATCACCTCTGAAACCCACATCAACCGATTATTTACACCACGTTTGGTGTGTGTGCAAAGTTTCATGAGTTTTTAACCATGTTTAGACCCTCAAAACTCCCCCGATTAGGGGTGGAATAATAATAATAATAATAATAATAATAATAATAATAATAATAAACAGAGCAATTCCAATTGGGCCTATGCACCGTTTCGGTGCTCGGTTCCTAAAATAGGCAACTCACATAAGCAAACTGGTTACAAAGACCTGTTTGAACAACAGAGTATGATGACAAAGCATGTTAAAACATTACAGAAATGATGCATTATTATAAGTTTTTTTTTTCAAGGTAACAGATAAAATGTTTCCAAAATCTTTTAAGTTTGTTGAAATTTTTTTTGTTTTTTTCAAGTTTTATTTTCAAATAGTATCTAATTCGCTCCAAATGTAACATAGAGGCAATTTCTCCAAGCCACAGTTTACATGCAGGGGATTCCTTTTTTTCCAAAACAGTAGCAGTAGCTTCTTGGCAGTAGTTAAGCAGTATGAGAGCATTTTATGTTGTGTATTTGACAACAAATGCGTTCGTTCAGAAAATTCCAGAATTAAAAGCATTGGATCTGGTTGTAATTGCAACTTCAACACCTCGGAAAGCACTTAAAAAATTCCATTCCAACTTGTCTTGTCGCTTTTACACAACAGGTTTACTCGCTTTTTAAGTCAACAACTTCTGTCACTTTTAAGACAGCCGGTTTAATCACTTTTAGTATTTTAAGTTAAGTCAACTTGTTGCTTTTAAGACAAGTTTACTTAATCTTTAGTTTCTTAGGTGAAGTCAACTTGTCTTGTTGCTTTTACACAACATGTTTACTTGATTTTTAGCTTTTTAAGTAAAGTCAACTTGTCGCTTGTGCTCACTTTTTAGT